TTTGCTACACTGTGTATATATTTCTACTCTTGTGTAAGGTATTATGTTAAAGTAGCTCTTTTAAAAATGTAATGTATAGTTAAGAAATACAGACTAATAGTCATCTATAAGAGTCAAACTGTAGTCATATTAGGTTTTCTAGATATACAGAGATATATTTCAGTTAGATAGATATTCTTCAAACCTTTCAAAGATCTACAGAATATGGCATTTAAAATGTTTTAAGAACTTAGACTTTTCTCCACAATGAGACATGTCTGCTTCTGATGGCATCAATTACCTCGGAGAGGTTGATGGGAATTGAAGAAACATGCTATGGAATTTGCCTTTGATGTGACAAGGCTAGCCATTTGCACAAGAAACTGCTCTTGCCTGGACTGCTTGATGGCATAATGTATAAATTGGACATGCAGGATCCACAGAAAAATGACTGTTAAACTTGCAGGTGAGACAGTCCTTCAGGGTTCCTGCTTTACAAAAGAACAGCCAAACATTTTGCAGGACACAGAAGAAAGCAACTGATGAACTTTGTTAGTACAAGGCAGAATAGATTTTCAAATTTCCTGCTTCATGGTTTTCCATGAAGCAAGATACTATGGGATTTTAGGCTGAAGATGGATGCCCCAATGTTACAGAAGAACTTTGGGTGACTGTCCAGGCAATGAGACCTCTCTGTCAATTCTAGAGTTTTGGAAGTTGCTTACAATGCACTTCCTGTTTACTTAGGTAATATTATAACCTTTTGAGGGTCTTTGGTGGAGTTGAAAACAGATAGTTATAGTTTTCCTTAGTTATGGTAAAAGATAAATTAGATATGAAACTTTACACTCAAAATATTGTAACTATAATTCTTGCTTGATAACTGCTTTGTTATATGTAATTTTACTATGTTAAAATTAAAAACCTTCCTTTTTACTTAGACAGAAAAGGGGAGATGATGTGGGATTGCCTTCTGTATGCTGTGAATATGTTTTTTTATTATTGGTTAATAAAGAAGCTTTTTTAGCCTATGGCAGGGCAGAATAAAGTCAGACAAGAAATGTGAACAGAGATATATAGAGAGTGTAGGCGGAGTCAGGGAGATGCCACATAGCAGGAGAAAGATGCCAGTCAACTGCCAAAGAAGCAAGACATGTAAAAAATGAGGTAATGCCACAGCCTTGTGGTGATACAGATTAATAGAAATGGGTTAACATAAGGCATAAGAACAAGCTACAAATATGTCTAAGCTATCAGCCAAATAGTACTGTAATTAATTTAGTTTATGTATGATTACTTGGGTCTGGGCAGCCATGAAATGAATGAGCTTTCTCCATTTACAGAAGTCTAAAGCAAGCATGAACTAAGTTCAGAGAGAAGGCAGTTATTCTTAAAACCCTGCTGTGAAATCAATTCATAATTCATAAAAAAATAATCTGTGATCTCTCTAATTTATATTGTGCTTCAAATTAAATTCTGCTGTGAAATGGAGGGAGAAAGGAAAAGGAATAGAAAAATCACTTAAGGAGCAGCAGGCAGTGTACCTGTGCAGGGCATGATTGACTTGTCTCGAGATTTGCTGTCACTTTTCTTTATGAACTGTCTGTGAAGGGCTCCAGATGATCTGACTTCTCTTTGAATTTGGTCAATGGGGAAAAAAAAGAGAGAGGAACTCACTTAAAAACAACATTAAGACCATCCACAGCAAAGGGTAGTACTGAGAGAAAGAACAGTGATTCCAAGAAGAATAGGGAGCTTATTGCCCAGACTATATTCATTCAAGCCAAGAAAAGTGGGGTTGAAATACTCTGTTCACTCACAGTTACTGTGTGACTTTCACAACACAAGACAGGATCTCATTTAAAAGAACAACATAGGCAGGCACAGCATAAGCATTGTGGAGGTAAGTAGGAGGAGAAAAACACTTGAGGCACAGTATGAACTAACACTGAGTTTCCAACTCAACCCCTCTGTAGGGGCCAACTTCAGTCCCTGTGGAAGTCCACTAAGTGCCAACTCTCAACTGGCACATCACCAGGGTTCCTAGGGCTCAGAGACTGGAAGTAACAATTCCCTTAATGTGGTACAGGACAACCTGAGAACAATGGATGCTCCAGCAGAACCCAAGAGAAGTGATTGCACTGTCCCGAGCCGCAAAGGATGCTAGAGCTAAGTGATGGCAGCAGGGAGGATGGCAGTGGGCATGAGCATCACTGTGAAGGACTGCTATAAACCAGTAAGATCCTAGAACCCATCATTTAAGATTACAGGTCCTTCTATATTAGCTCCTTTCCTTCTCATCATGAACAAAAATTAATTTATAGGATTAAGTGATTTCTTAAGCCTCTCAAAAGAATACTGATTAGGAAAAATCAATAAAGTGGGTGAGGGCGTCATCATAGGGTGGAGTAGGGGGGACCTATGATGGAAAAGCTAGGCTTGATGTGGATTGACCATCGATCTCAACAGTACAGAATCCCAACAATACATGTGAAATAGAAATGGTGAAGGGTTATTCTCTCGTTTCTTTACGTTAAAAGCTAATTAATTCTGGCAAGAATAAAATACACTCAAGATGTAAAAGTGCAAGACTTTAGTTACCTTGAATGGCCTTCGATTAGAGCTCTGTCTCTAAGCTCCCTAGAGACTGGGTATTTCAGTATGTTTTCCCCGGGGCAGGGAAACCGATAGAGAGTCCACAAAATATGGACAATTACACACCAAAGTCTTCTGAGATTTCAGTTTATTCAACAACAGAGTTTAAGATAAGCATGATGTGTGTGTATGTGTGTTTGCACATGAGCACACATGCACGCGCATATATGTGTTAACTTTCTCAAAATTACCAATGAGGTGCAAAATGTGTGGGTTATCTTATTCTCCTATGGAGACCACATCTCCTACAATACATCAGTACCAGAAGGTTCCTAGGCCGTCAAGTGCCAGACACGAAAACAGAGTAGTGCCAAAGTACTGCCACCGACAGGGCTTCCTGGGAGTGCACAGCCAGCCTGCTGCTGTCATATTACTTCAACCAAAGAACTATCATTATTACCTCTTTCATCTGCCCGCCTCTCCCCAGGTCATTGAAGGTCTTAATGGCTCAGAAAACACACGTCAGAAAGACTAGGAACCACTGCTCACATGCATGCTCCTGTGAGCCTCTAGAAGTGGAAGACAGGAGAATAACAGAAAACAAAGACTAGACTGGGTTCAAGAAGCACTTAGTACATTTATTTCCTTCTCTCCTCAGCTAATGCCCATCGTGGCAAGGAAGGCTGCCATGACATACTAATTAGATCAAGACTAAAATCTCTAACTCAGGAATTAGGACTCTTTGTTTTGTTAATAGTTAAGGCAAATTTTAGGTCATTTAATCACTGTCTGGACCATGATAAGCAAATAACTTGGTGGGTGGGCCAATATTGTGATCATAGATAGCATTACAACGTGGGTATATGCTGAAAAACTGAAATAGCTGTATATATTTTCACTAAGGTAAAGCATTTTTTATCACATAAGAAAAGCAGTGCAGAAAAATAACATGCTATAAAGTAGTTACTGTCCCAGAAAAACTACAAGTTTGTGATTGGGTATGTGGAGGCTATAGACCACCTCCAGACTGCCTTGCCAATGTGTGTGTTCTCAACTGCTGACACTTGATATTACAAAACAAAACAGCCTCTGGAACCAAGTAAACTTCCAAAAAGAAGTATTTTTCTCTAATTATGTAGACTGAACTTGATATGCATGCCTATCAACAGCAACAATAATAATAATAATAATAATAAAAGCCTCAAACAAAAGAATAATAAAGGAAGGGCTTTCTTTCTCCTTCTGAAGATTCTGAAGATTCAGTGCAATGAACTCTAACATGTGAGTGAAATGGGAACAGATACAAATGTGAAGGAAGTCATGTGATTTAGCAATGAAGATTCCCCTGTCCCATGGGGAAGACAGAAGATGGAAAACGCAAAGTCCCTGGGCTCACAGAACAGACAAAAGATTGTAAATGATTCTTTTCTACAGAGGAACGTCTCCCGGGACATTGACCAGGGCTGATGCGGAAAACAGCGGCGTTTGTGCAAAAGCCCGACCAGGTGCAGCACAAACTTGGGCTCTCCTTTTGTTTCCATCACGTGACTTTAGTTAAGCAAAAACTAAGCCAAGACCGGAGCTGATTGGCTTCTCAGAAAGCCTCTTCTAGCACCTGCTAATTTCTAGGTAAGCCTCTAATTTAAATAAAACTAAAGCATATTTTTGGAGTGACAGTCCAAGCAGGTATGAAAGATAAGTCTCCAAATATCAGAAAGAAAGAGATTTCAATAAAAGTCAACCCTCGATCCCTACCACACACACATACAATTTAAATATATCCCTGTCTAGTTCTACGTGATTTTTTTTTTAATTTTCATGTGAACCTTTCACTTAAAAAGTAAAATGTCTAGAGTCCTATTCCATTTAAAAAGACCGAAGTTAAGTTCCTGGGAAGTTTTCCAGAGAGTTAGATTGCCTTAAAATTGGACGTGCATTAAATGAAGCTTTGTCTAACAAAAGTGAGCGAGTAACTGATATGGCATCTGTATGTTCAGTCCACACAAGGTTCCTTTATCTGGGAAGCATTACTCAGAGACAAACAGAACATCAGATTACAGTCCTGGGGATTCATACTCGCCTCTTCTACGGATGCTGCCAGCTCACACAAACATTATATGTGCACCGAGCACCTGTTTCCAGAAGAATTTGTAATCTACCTGCTCCGTTTCGTTCCCCAAAGTCTCTCCGACTTGACACGCGTGCCCCCTTTCATTCATTCCGCTGAACCTTTCATCCCTAAGAGGTTCACTCGTAGTAAATGTGCAGAGTGGTATGCTTTAATACCAGGAGCAAAAAACAGAAGAAGCCTTCTTCATTATAATGTATAATGAAACCAAGCCCTGATTCTGAGAGTTCTCAGAAAGTGCACAAAAAGCCATGGCAGGAAGGGGTTCATTCCTGGTGCAGGGTTCCTCCCACATTACCTGCTTCAGTGTACTTCAGTCCCACTTTTTCTTCTGTGTCTTTTGTCTTTGGGGGCGGCCAGACAGCTTGGAGTCTGCCAGGAGTCCTGTCGTCCTGCTCCGTGGGGCTCTGGTCAGGCTGGGCAAAACAGGTAAAGAATAATTTTAAGTGAAATGTGATCAGAGCCAACTGATTCTTGAAAACACACATCCTAATGTTAATTCTAATATAGATTTAATGGCCAGCTGTACGTTGCTCCCACTACTTGTAATTAAGCCATCTTAGTACAGTATGAACTTTTTTCCAGAAGGGTAAAGAAACGGTAAGGGTAAAAACTAAAGAAAAAAAACAAAACAAAAACAAAAATCACTCAATCAATCAAACAAACAAAAAACCTTCAGAGCTACCTAACATGCAACCCTTTATGTATTATTTTTGTTATTCAACTTTTTAAAAGGCACAACTAATTTTTTAGCTGCAGAAACAGAAACAAATGCATTATCATCTGGCACTTTTATAGAAATATTTGCAAATGTACTCCAAAGAACTCCACACTATTTACAATAAGGATTAAGATTGCATTTTCCATGAACATTAGCAATAATTGAATGCACACTTCTCTAAGTATTCCACACTAATTTTAATTCTTTCCTATTACAAAATAAAAGAGACTGACTCCATGTTCAAGTCTTTTTTTGTTGTTGTTGTTGTTTTTTTAAATGGAGTTGAATTTCGCAACTAAAATGCTATGGTTCGTTTAGATTTAACTACAAGCTATGATAATCTTCCAGAGACTTTAATTTTTAATAGCTTAATTAAATATACAAGCAGACATGATAATCCTATACTGAATCGATGTTTAACAAGAAATTCTATCCATTGTTCCCATGAACTTTCAATGCCAAACACTTCCTGATCATTATAAATTAACTTTCTTTGAATAATTCCGTCTTTCACTAGCTAGATCCCTTATGCTCTGATTCCATTTATTCTTTCCCTAAGTGTTAGGGCTAGGTTTCCTGTTTTTATATATGGGGAGTCAGGCTCAGAGATTATCAAGGTCACCTCGCCATAAATGGCAGACCAGGGATTAAAACCCAGTTCTCATCCTAAATTTGGTGCTCAGCCAGGAAACCACATAAAGAACACAGACCATTTCAGTTACATCATGAACACATATTTGCTAAATGGCACACTTTCAAAGGCAGCCTTGTGTTCGCGAGAGTGTAACTGAACGGTGAGGAAATCTCTATAAATTGGGCTGTACTGACACATCGCACATCCCATTACTTCCCCATGTTGCTAATGTTTTATAAGCACAATGAGCATTGATGTTTAGACTCCGGGTGCACAGTTTCCCTTCCTTCCCACACATCCTTACACAGACTACAATTACATCCAAGAAAAACAGAAGATAAAGATGCGCTTCTGTCCAACTTCGCCGCCATTCGCAAGACAAATTTAATACATTAATTTCTTTTTACCTAAAATACTAGTAAGATCGGGCAACTAGATTTGATCTTAACAGAAAATCTGGAATGCAAAAAAAAAAAATACAGCATGCTATTTTATGTCAAAATGCAGTACCCAATTCTACATACGCTTTTGGGGTCAGTGGGGCTGTCTGCCGGCCTTGACTTGGACCTTTCGAACACAGCGCGCAGTGATTCCTTCTCATGCCTCATCTTTCGCTTGAGAGCTTCCAGCTCCGAGGTGTCAGCGGTGGTCCCCTTTTTAGGGGGACGGATGAATAAGGCCTTAAAGGCCTCCAGGGCAGTCTCTGGTGGCTTCGACTTCACCTGGGTACCCTGAACTTGGGCATCTCCAGAACTCTTCTGACTCTCCTGGTCAGTACTATAGCCCATCTCGTCTGCCCCACGGAGTTCGGGGTCTGCTTCCTTCAGTTCGGTCCTTGGCATGTCAATGTTGAGCAGCTGAGATAGCTGCTCCAGGAGAGTGGGAGTGGCCTTCGGATCAGTTGCTCTACCCTGGCTCTTCACTGTCTGTGGGCCTCCCTGCACCAGAGACTTATGAACAGGCTGGGTCAACTTGAGCAAAGCCAAGTCCCCATCCTTGGGTTTGATTTCAGTAATGGTCTCCCCGGCCTCCGCTGTAGCCCCCTTCTTCAGCACACGGAGCCCACTAAAGAAAGCTGGAAGCTGGAAGGACTTCTCCGCCGGAGTCTCTCTCTCTTTTACAAACAGTACCCTCAGCAACACCAACAGTCTGGTCTGTTGCTGCGGGTGGCGTTTGGGACCTTTCTTCCGCAGCCTGGCCCTGCTCTGCTGAATGGCTATCATCACCGCCAGGGTCCACTTTGCTGCTTGTCTCAGGTAAAGTACTCTGAGAATCACCGCGGAGTTCTGCATCATCAGTCTCCCCAGTGTGGTCATTTTCTCCCGAATTTTCCAGGCTTTCTTTGGGCTCTTGAGATGGTTCAGATAAAACAACAGTGGTGGACTCCCGCGTATCAAGGCCACTTCCCTCTTCTGCCTCTTGGCCTCCATCTTCAGAGTCAGAATCACTTGTGGTGTGAACCAGGGTCCCACGGACCCAAAGGACATCCTCGCTATCCCCACTCACAGTGGCAGGTGAAAGCAGCTCATGACCAGGGGAAGAGGTGCTCGATCTGACTTTCCCCTGACTTCCTTCGGATCCTGTCTCGGCTGTTGCTGACTTCCCATCATTTTCGAGATCAGGTGGAACCGGAGCTTCTGCCTGTAACTGATCTGAGCCTTCGCTGGGATCATCTCCCTCAGGAGCGGGGTCCACCTCTAAATTGCGAAACGCCTTCAGCACAGCATCTTCCTCTTCAGGATCCAAGGAGTCCAATTTACTTGTAAATCCAAACAGGGATTTCATAGAGAATTTACTCAGGATCGACTGAGCCATCTCAAGCCCGGCTTCGGATTTGTTTGGTTCCAGCTCATCTCTGCTGCTGAGAGAGTTACCAGCCTCCTCCATGTCCCCGCAGTGGCCTTGACAGAAGTTCTACCTTGTGTTACCTGCCCGGCTCGCTCAGTTTATCCGCTCCATCTGCTCTTGACTTACAGGACAGGGAGCTACAGCACCGGGGAGAGAGCCAGGCTTTCAGCAGCTCAGAAAACACACTTGGTCTCTTTCAGGTCACAGAGTCCTCGCTTCCGGTCTGTTCGATGCCGGTCGGCGTGCCCAGGGCAACTTGTTAAGTCTGGGCAATTCTATGCCCCAAAGCGGCTGGGGCTCCACACCTTACTACACATGGGCAGGCAGGCTGCTCTTCTGGACTTCCGTATTTACTCCCCGGGACAAAAGGCTTTTTGTCGCGGCAAAGTCAGCCTGTCCCGTAATCCCAGCCCAGGACTTCAGGAGGAGCTCCGCCCCTTGCCTACGAGTCTCCTGGTCACATTCAACTTCCTCATTGGTGAGCAAGTTGAGGTTCCTAAAAGTGCTGAGCCGGCAAGCTGGTCCTGACAGCCCTGAACCACCCCCTGGTGCAGCCCAAGAGATTCCAAAGTGAATCAGCAGAAAATGGCCAAAGGATTTCTGAAGTGAGTCCTCTTTTCCAGCCAGGCCCCACACCCAGCATTTCGCCTACATCCACACATCCACAGCCTCCTGAAGAACTCTAATCAAAGTCAGAAAGTAAAGAAAAAGATCCTCTCAAAGTGCCCGGAACTCTCAGAGTAGTTAATTTACTATCCCTGGAATGTCTTTTGTTTTTAAATGCTAGCCGGCAGGTTTCATCTGGAATGCAGATTTTCTCTGACTGCTGGGAAGGAAAACCAACTAGACTGGTTTCAGATTACTACTGTTTTAGCTCTGCCCTGCCTGGGTGTTCGGCAAACAGGTATTTAAACAAGCACGCCCACCACGCCCAGAGTCCACCTACTGTAGGGCAGCAGAATAAACAGCCCCAGCCATGTGTACCCGCGATTACTGTCTGAGTGGTGAGCCAACCTTAGGTCTCTTTCTGTTCAGCAGCAGTGACTTCCTCGGTGAGTTATAAATCCTGGTGGCAGAAGGGACTCCTTTTCCGCTTTGGTGTTGCAGTCAAATACATGGACCTGGTATTAGCACGATTTTGGAACGCAACCTGCCTTCTTGGTCAAAGTCATTCAGCCAAGATTCCCAAGGATCTTTATTTCTGTCAAGGTCTAAAGTGTCTATCAGTTTGGTTGCCACTGCCCATTTTGTGCAAAAAGCAAGGAAACCCAGCACTGATTGGATCAAACATCATTCTGGTGTCTATAGACCAGAGACCTGAGGATGTGGGGTGAGGGAATCATAGCTGCCTAGTGACCTCTTGGGGATAGCTTCCTGTCAAACCCAAAGGTCTGAGAAATCTGGTTGCAAAAATGCATTTTTAAAACAATGTATGATTGCAAAAAGGGAAAACATAACCAAAGAGAGTGTATATTCCTACGAATCTTATAGGAAAGAACAAATCGTAATTGGTTCCTGTGACTAAACGGAGCCTTTCTGCAAGATGACCCCGACTGACATTTTGGGATTACTAACTGACCTAAATGCAAAAGGTGTGGTGCCGGGGACTGCCTAGCACACACAAGGCTTTGGGCTCAATCTCCAGCAGAGTCAAAGGACAGAATCAAACGAAGTGAAGGTGGGGCAAAATAAAGGGGGGGGTTGGATCTGATGGTGTCATTCTGAATAAGCTTCCGCTCGAGAGGAAATGCCGATTGATAAAAATCTGCCTTCGAGATTGTGGAAAGAAGGGATCATTACACCAGTTTCAAGAGCTACCCACAGAAGACGCAGGACAAGAGGAGGAGTTCTGCACACTGGGTATTTTCCTTCTCTCTGAGGATGTTTCGTTTGCTCAGATACATATATATCATAGGACTGATTTCCAGAGTAAGTTTACAGGCACCTCCATAGACTTGGGCAAAAATACAAGCTGGAAGGGGTCGTTAGTCCCTCTACACCATAGTACTGAGCAGACTTAAAGGGTTTCAGTGTCCCCTCATCATCCACAGGCGCCAACACATTTCATAGAAAATGGATCTGGAGATGATTGGCTTGACACCCCTTCGCTCTGGGTAGTAAGGCTTTATTGGACTTATTTTAGATTAAGAAAACAAAGTGAACAGAAGTTAACTGAGTAGAGTTTCATCGGGTAGTGGGGGTGAATGAACACAGTAATATCTAGAACCGAGCATTTACTAAGTGCCCAAGCACTGCTTTAAATGCTTTGCGAATACTGTCTCATTAGCTAGAGACAGCCGCTCTAGCTTGGAATTGATTCTGTTTCTCCTGCTAGAAAACCGACCCAGAAAGATGAAGTAACTCATGTTTCTAGGGCCAACGGGCAATGAAACCAGAATTTGACTCTAGAATGCACTCTTAACCATTCTCAACACCTCAGAAGTTGGCTTCCTCCTTGCTCTCGTAGGACACCACACATGGCCAGGTCTTAAATTACAAAGATGGCAGACTCTTCTTAGGGTCTGAGGTACACTTTCTCCTTTGGGATGACATGGAGACAGACGTCACAGAAACTTACTGACAAAGAATAACTGTGGTTTTACATTGCTGGAACTTCAGGGCAAATTATTTAAATAGTTATTTATTTAAACGTTTAACAATTATGTCATTTAAATAATTAAATTATTATCTGAAATTAATTTAAATTATTTATTTAGGAAAATTATTACAGAGAAGTCAGAAAAGAAGGCAAACGGAGAGAAATTTCCAGCAGAGGAGTTTCTACGAGAGGAAAATGCCATTGAAGTTTGCTTGTCTCGCAGGTTTGTAGGGCTGTGGCAGAAACTAGATAGAGAATAAGATCATCTCTACTGAGATTAGTTAATTTTCTGCATCTTCAAGGGCTAAGCCAATGGTGGGCCTAGACTCATTATGCCGGTACCCATGGCCCATCCTGAGAGATGATCACATACTGCTGATGGACTAGCTACACAGACAGGGATAGATGACGCCTCCCTCTGTCCAGCCCTGACTCTGGCTTTGACACTGACTGTTGCTAGCTGTTAGTCACTTGACCCACATTGCTACCTTCAGACTTTGCGAATGTCTCGCAGCTGTCAGGTCCACTCGACTTTCTTTGTTCTCTTATTTACAAGGGCAACTTGTAGCTTTACCATGGCAAAGAGCTAACTCCCTCCCAGTCACTAAGATGTAGCTGCAGCCTTTCTTGGTTACCTCATTTTTAGCTCCTTACAGAGTAGTCTGAGGTGGTCTCCTATTACCGTTAGTCTGTCAACAATCAGCTACGTTAGAAAGCAAGCATATTTACAAAAGGACAATACTGCTTTGTGGTCATTCCTCGGGAGCTTCAGAGCGGGCCTGGTGGTCTGCTGTCAGTGGCTCAGAGCTCTGTCCTGCTTCTCCCGTTCTGTCTAACAGCCTGGTTATACCCAATTATTAGACCTCTTCTTCTTCAGTGTCTTAGGCTTTCTCATGTTAACCTTTAGTCTTCCTTTTAATTCCAACCTCCGTTCTATTATTTATGTGAGCATCTTGCACTGTCTGTGCTGGGTCCCTTTCCCTTACAATGGACAGAGAGCTATCTCTCTCCTGTATCACTGTGAATGAAGAGAAAATAATGGGTGAGGGTGAGCTATACTTAGTCCAGGGAGTATCTTTCAGTTCACCAAATGAAACCTGATATAACATTGGGAGAGTGAATGAAATCATGACATCTACAATTGTGACGTTTCATTAAAAGGATCATAGGATTGGGGAAAGGTATGTGTGTATCTGAGACTAAACTGGACTTTGCGTTACAAGTCAAACATCTTGACCTCATTTTAAAGATGAAGACATCTGAAGTCAAGAGGAGTTAAATAGCTGCTGCAGCTGACTCTGAGAACCCCCATCTCCTGGCCGCCCTGCAGCATAGACGTAATTTCTACTTAGTTCAGAGTAATGTGAGTGAAACTTGAGAGTCCACACTAATGGAAATCAAGCCTGAGGCGACCTTAGACTTCTCCTAGGCTTGCAGCATCTGTAACCGCCTCCCAGCTAACTTATACCAGCCCCAATAAAAGCCATCAACTACTTCTGTTAATCAGTTGAAGAGAAAAAAATCAGGCTATGTAGTCAGGCTGTGGTGGTTGACGCCTTTCATTGGATTTCTGAGTTCAAGGCTAACCTGGTTTACGGATTTCTGTGTTCAAGGACAGCCAGGGGAAATGCTGTCTTGGAAAAAACAACCAACACACAAAACAAAAACAAAACCAGGCACTTTGCAAGGACAAATTCCAGTGATAAAGGTCTTTTCCTGTTGAACAGTGTAAAATACTTCCAAGGCTGGCTCCACCATGAATGTGGGTTAAATATAGACAACATATTTAGGGTTTGAAAGGAGAGTGGTGATACTGGCCATGCTATGAAACTGGAAGAGAGCAGGGTGTGCATGATCTTGCCATGAACAAGGGCTGTGTGCAGTTAGGAGCATGGTTCTGGTTTCTAGGCTGCATCCAAGCTCGGCACCTGTAAGCGTGCTTCTGGGCAAGTGACATAGGCTCCCTGTGCTGCAGCTTCGTCACCTCAGGGATGACAGTACTATGTCATGGTGACTGTGAGCATTACACAAACAACCGTATGTGTTTGACATTCCCCTCCATAGAACTTCAAGAGTTCTTCGGGCTTTCATGGGAAAGAAACAACCTTCTTAGTAATCTCAACCCATATCTACCAGACATACTGTTGTTTTGTTTTTGTCAATAGGAAACACATATTTATGGATGAACTGACAGTCCAGGCAGGGAGTTGCTGCCTCCCAAGTCCCCGGGATCCATGGTTTTAGAAAGAGGGACTAAAGGTCTTCCAAATCACTGTCTCATTTATACTCCACTGGACTCCAAAGTCAATTCTCTTGAAGGATTCCTTTGAGCGTTTCAGGGCCAGTGTTTTGAGAGTTGGATTTTCCATCTCTTTCACCTTTACAGAGTGATTAGTTTAAGGTTTCCTCAGGTGACTCTGCAGAAAGTCACTAAGTTCACTCTATTCTGTATTATATTTTCTGGTCCAAGAGGATTTTCAAACAAACTCTACCCATTTCAGAGGCAGGACTCTGTAGATTTAGTGTCTTTCCATTCCTCCCTCAAATGTCCACTGGAGCACAGACAGCAACCCTGCAAGGACTGTCATAGATCTGTGACTCCCCAGTCTCACCATAATAGCTCTGATATGTTTTCCCTTTTTCTTTTTTCATTTTTGTCTTTAAGCCAATTCGTTGGATCTCAAAGGTGCTGCTTCACCTATAGTGAAGACCTATAGTAAGACCAAGCTGGCCACTGCAAGGCTGGTGCTGCAGTTCTTACTGCAAATATTTCTAAGACTGGATTCCTCAAGCCAGTGTCAAAGATTATCTGGAAAGGGAACTCACTATTAATGACAAAGAAAA